GTGGCTTTATGTGCCTACCTGCGGCTAGCTACAGCTAGCTACAGTTAGCTACAGCTAGCTACAGCCAGCTACAGCAAGCTGTAGCTAGCTACAGCCAGCTACAGCTAGCCGCAGCTAGCTACAACCAGCTACAGCCAGTTACAATTACCTAGAGCCAGCTACAACTAGATACAGCTAGCTACAGCCAGCTACAACCAGATACAGCTAGCTATAGCTAGCTACAGCTAGCTGCAGATAGCCATAGCTAGATGAGGGCAGAGAGTGGAGCTAGCAGCTAGCTGTGGCTATTTATGGCTAGCCATGAGATATCTATATAGGCCTATTTTGCTAAATGTCATTTAATTTATATTTTATAAATAAAAGCAAAAGATTGTTCAGTTGCAGTGCATGTTTTGGACAGCAACTGCATGCAGCCAGACGGAGGAAGGCTGCTGAGGCGCGACAAAACCCTAAACCCTAAACCCTAAACCCTAAACCCTAAACTCTAAACCCTGAAATGCCACAGGAACTCAAATAGTGAACGGAGAGTTGCAAAGTCTCAACAAAAGAAGTGCAAATATAATTGAAACGCAGCTGAGCCAGCAGACACAGACTCAGCTTTGGCCGAAGGCCTAGGGTTTAGGGTTTAGGGTTTAGGGTTTAGGGTTTACTCGGCTACGTAGTAAGCATTTGATGCATGCTTAGGCACAAAAGTAAACCCTTTAGGAGGGGGCCCTAAAAACATCGAAGATATTTCCACCCAGTCCTGCGGGAAGGCAAAAACGCAAAAAAAAGAATATAATAATAATAATAATAATAATAATAATAATACAAAAATATAATAATAATAATAATAATAACACAAAAATATAATAATAATAATAATAGTAATAATAATAATAATAATAACAACAGTCCAAATCATTAACATTAATCGTAATAATAATAATAATAATAATAATAATAATAATAAGAATAATATAAATAATAACAATAATAATAAACGTAATAATAATAATAATAGTAATAATAATAATAAATAATAGCAGTAATAATGGTAATAATGAGAATATGAATAAACAAAGGAGAAAAACGAGTCCAAAGTCCCGCAGTATAAAATAAAAATGACTAAAAAGATATTTTTGAGAATTTGCATGCGTAAAAGAAAACAGAACAAGAATGGGAATAAATGGAAATGTTTCGATCTTTATTTTTGCATGCTCAAGTCATGTTCAAAAAACCTGAATTGACCCATTTATGAACAATAGTGAGACTTTTTTGCCCTGCAAAAGATGCTTTTCTCAAAGAGAATTAAATACCTTTATCTACATGTATAAATTAAAATTATTTAGACTGAAGTCGAAGACAAAAGTGCAAAAATGCGAAAAACGTGGCACAGCTGCGGTGTACAGACACCTCAAAACGCGGCAAAGAAACGCACTGTACAAGAATCCATGACGAATATAAATTCAAAAAGCATTTAAACAAAAATAACAAACGGAAGTCCTTTTTATTTGCACGCAAAAAGCAGCATGCAGCCCCCAAAGAAAGCCGCTGAAAACTGCCCGTAAACCCTAAACCCTAAACCCTAAACCCTAAACCCTAGAGGCCGACCTGGGTTTTGGGGCTGGCGAGCTTGACCTCGAGGTCGCTTCTGCCCACAAAAGCACTCGGCCGCCACTGAATTAGTTGCGGATTTAATTCTAAAAATGGAGGAGGAATATAACGATGTGCAAAAGAGAGAAACTCCAAAAGAAAGCGGCGAGCTGTCGATACACCCCGGCGGTCGCTGCCCCAGTGCTCCAACGCGTTGTTCACGAACTCCTGAACGCCCAATTAAATCAAATTATAATTCAAATTATAATTTTAATTCAATTATTTATTTGTTTTCCAGCTTTTAATTGCAAAAAGATGAGCCACAACACGAAGCAAACACTGGGAAATGATGCATGCAAAAAACGAATCCGAAAGTCAAATTTTCAGATCCAAAATGAATAAAAACGGCGAAGAGAAAAAGAAAGAATTCAACTTCTGACTACAAATTAAATAATCTGATGTTGCATTTTCAATTTCTGATTAATTAGTAATTCTCAACTAACAATTAAAAACCTCGTTTTAAGTTGAAGAACATTTCCTGAGCTGAAAGCTCTCCGTTTAATCAGAATGCTGATACTTGCCAATTCGAACTTAGGGTTTAGGGTTTAGGGTTTAGGGTTTGTGGGGCCGAACGTGGAGGATATTTAGTCTTTCAGAGGCCAAAATGTCCCAAATTCTCTTTTTTTTTATTTATGTAAACAGCCAGGGTTTAGGGTTTAGGGTTTAGGGTTTGTGAGCCCGAACTTGAAGGATATTTAGTCTTTCAGAGGCCGAAATGTCCCAAATTCTCTTTTTTTATTTATGTAAGGGTTTAGGGTTTAGGGTTTAGGGTTTGTGAGCCCGAACTTGAAGGATATTTAGTCTTTCAGAGGCCGAAATGTCCCAAATTCTCTTTTCTTTTATTTCTGTAAACAGCCAGGGTTTAGGGTTTAGGGTTTAGGGTTTGTGGGCCCGAACTTGAAGGATATTTAGCCTTTCAGAGGCCGAAATGTCCCAAATTCTCTTTTCTTTTATTTCTGTAAACAGCCAGGGTTTGATGAGGGCCCCCCGGCCAACCATCAAGGCGTCCATACAGCTGGTGGCTTCGCGAAATTCATATTCCGCGCTGCTCAAAATGTCCCCACAGCCTGCATTTGAAAAGAAAATAAACAAAAAATAAACAAAACAAACTTTAAAGAGAAGCAAATCATAAATAAATATATATAAATAATAAATAAAGAGAAATAAATGTCAAAAAGTCCAAAAACGAAGAAATGAGAATTCGTACAAGTCCTTTTGCACCTTTTTGTCCCACAGATTTAATGGCATATGACTCTTTTTTGGATTTTGCAAATTAAAAACAATTAATTTAATTGCAAATAATTAATTCAAATTTATTTATTTCTTTTTATTCCAAATATACATTTATGGCGCATTAAGAAATGCAAAAGCCTGCATGCACACGCGGACGCGCAGGTGTAATAAATGTGATAATGAGAATACTTAATGATAATAATAATAATAATAATAATAATAATAATAATAATAATAATAATAATAATAATAATAATAATAATGATAATAATAATAATAATAATAATAATAATAATAATAATAATAATAATAATAATAATAATAATAATAATAATGATAATAATAATAATAATAATAATAATAATAATAATAATAATAATAATAATAGTAATAATAATAATAATAATAATAATAATAATAATAACAATAGTCAACGCCTGGACTTTATTTGTTGAAAGCATTTTTCATCAAGACAAAAATGCCAATAAACAAAAAAAGGGAATCTGCATTTTTTTCTGGAAATTCCAGAGTCCAATAAAGTTCAAAAGATGTGCAATTGCATTTCAGCATTTGAAGCAAAAGTGCGCAAAAATGAAATTTAAAAGAAAAAAGAAATTATATTCTTGCGGATTTATGCGCTAAAAGCTGCAGTGTACGTACACTGCAGTGTACCCTGCGGTGTATGTACACCCCAGAGCCGTCCAAAATGCACGAACTTTTGCCATTTTTGCATGCAAAAACTTTGCACAATTCTGCTTTTTGGCTACATTCTGGAGGAGCATTTATATTAGTGTCTAAGATGAAAACAAATCC